TCATTTTCATCGGCCGGCAGCTGCAAGACGTGCCGCAATTGTTCATTTGGCTTTTCCCTCTTTACGGAATTTAGTATTTGGGAAAATTACTTAGCTGGAACGAAGTGAATTCCGAAGTTTTCGTAACAATATTTTTATGTAATGACATTTTTTCGTAATAAAAAAGAATAATTCAAAGACTGAATTTGAATTAATAATATGCTTTCATTTGCCAAATCGGTTAACATCCCCCTCCCCACCAAACACGAAAAAATTTTACTAATAATAACAATTACCCCAAGTACATTTCATCTTATCCGCTTGAGTGGCCGGAGTAGGTAAGAGTCTCGACTCAGCAACTCAATGGTCGTGGGTTCAAATCTCAAGCCGAAAGCCTCAGATGCATCCCAGTGCTTTAAGACTTTAGTCTCTTACAATTTATTCTCTGGTTAAATTTGTAATAATAATAATAATAATAATAATAATAATATTAATAATATTCCATCTTATACTGTCTGTATGTCGTCAAATCAAATTGGCATTTGCAATAACATACACAGTCTACGCCGCAACAACATATTTTACAACAACATTTTATCATTTTTCTTAACTTGTTCTTTTATGGAGTTAATCGATTTGGCAATTGAAGCATCCATATAGCATTAGGTTAACGCAAAAATTTATTCTAAGCTAAATCAGACAAAACATATTCAACAAAACAAATTTATGATGTCTGCAAGAGGTTAGAATGCCTTCGAAATTATTTCTATTAATACTTGATATTAAATTAAATTCATTAACTTTCTTTCTTACTTTCTTTAAACCCTTTAAAGTACGTCAGTCCTTCTTCAGTCCCTTAGCAGTTATAATTCTTTCTTATTAATTTATATTTTTTCATTTATATACACATGCGTATAATTCTTGTTTTCCGTTTACCTTATACGATTGTTATATTTATTATTGATGAGTCTAAAATTGTAAATATATACATACATACATACATACATACATAAGAGATATTTTTATAATGTGTGTTTGTCTATTATGACTCCTACGAGACACAAACAGCAGTTAATAGATAATTCAAGAGTTGTTATTACTTATTTTTTTATTTTTTTTATTTTTTATTTTTGCTATAGTTCGATAGGTAAAAACTAGAGTAAAGTGTGTTATATTTGAATTGGTTTTGTTGTTGTTTTTATTGTTGTTTGTGTTGTGTTTTAATGTGTTTATTTATTTAAAAAATTAACTTAAACGTATGAAGAACATTAGTGAAAAGCACGCAACGACGACCCATAAATATGAATAAATGTTCTTCTTCTATTGTTAAACATTTTCGTGTATGTGTGTGTGTGTGTGTGTGTGTGTGTGTGTGTGTGTGTGTATGTATGTAATACCAACACGAACAATCAGAAAAAAAAAAAAAACAAATAGTGTGACAGAGTTGTTCTTTATGTACATTACACCCACAAACGTTACTAGCAGGTGTTTATATATTGTATTTTAACTTTCCCATTAAGTTAGTTGTCTATAATTTTATTAAATTTCGTATAACTTCTTGCAGACACACGGAAAACATAAATACATATACAATGAATTAATAAAAGCAGTTTATTTGCCCCAAATAGTGACAGATAGGCGCAGAAGAGCTCGACTTGGCGAAGGAGACTTCTTGCGTGAATTGTATACAGAGTGTCACAGGCATCATAACAGACGACGCGAAACAAAAAATATTTAATATTTAATTGATAACGAATTTTGACCACTCTTCACGGCTATCATTATCACAAAAAGATCAAACACTGAACTCAAATATATGAACTCATTTTATTGTCTATAGTTTTCGAAATGGCTTGAGCAACATTAACGGACAAAGCCATTCCTGCACGGAGGTTACATGGATACAAATAAAATGAGTGATCTTGGTTAGGATGCTTTTTTTTTTTGTAAACCCAACTATCGGTTAAAAAAGTAAACATTTTTCCAAACATCAACTGGCAGCCGGCACAACATAAGTTGAATGATTTGAGGTTAGGCTATGAAGCATTTTCCGAAATTTTTTTTTTTTTTGATACAAAAACGAACAATAAGTTTCATTGTTTAAAAATTACAACGATTACAACAGAACGCCTGTCAAATCCCCAAAACAAACCTGTGCAATACTTTGTGTTTCTACGTGAACAGCGTTGATGACATTTCGCTCAGTCAAATTTCAGTCGGGCGTTTTGCCAGAATCCAATTAAGCTGAGTGCTTTTTTTAAGTTATGCTTTATTATGGTTAGACAATTTCCTCATAAAGAATCGGTTCTTAATTACATTTCCCAGCTGGACTCTTGACATTGCCGGTCGCACATCAAGTAAATTCATAAAGAATTCGTTGCGGGTGAATTTAACTGCCCTGACATATCCATTATGCCGCATGATCTTATCTCTATTCTAGAACATAGTTACTTTAAGTTTAGGCTTTCGCTCTCGACCGATGCGGATGTCCATAGTGCATCCAAGCGTTACCAATGCCAGCTAGTTCAGTGCCGTGCTTGTCAAAACTGGAGTGATCACTATTAACTGCTTCCTCTTTTTGGTTATTAGCCCACATTTTCGGCGTTTACTTTCCAAAAAGTTTTCTCAATTCGAAGCGCGTAATGTTGTGCCGGCATGTGGAAAAGGAGAAAAAGAAATCCATTAGTTTTTCGTTAGATGGCTGGCTGTCGTAATCGTAATTCCATTCCAGGTGTGGATCAAACAATTTCAGATTTATGCTCGTTGTGATTGTGAGTAGACACTAGAAGAATTCTTTTGCTTCGCAATGAAGAGAAAAGCCAACCGGCAGGAACTGCGAATGGTATTAATAGTCCCGATATTGTAACAGCCGTTTATGTGCCATTTTGGTTTCGAGGAGTCTATTCAGGTGTTCTCAATGTTAAATATATGTCTCGCATAGGTTTCGCCTGTCGTCGACAATGTCGATATAATCGCAGAAATAATCAAAGTTGATCTGCATGTTAATAGTCGTAACATCGCCCAGGAGCTAAACATCGTTTTAAACCATTTGCGTAAAGCTGGATTCAAAAAGAAGTTTGATGTTTGGATGCCACACCAATTAACACAAAAAACATAATGGATCATTTTTCCATCTACGAAGCTTTGGTCAAAGGGAATAAAATCGGACCGATTGCGTAAACGGATGATGGCTGGGAATGAGAAATGGTTGACATTATGCAAAAACGATGGCGATGAAAGCGCGGTAAAGCAGCTCAAACGGTGGCCAGATCACGATTAACGACCCGGAAGGTTCTGCTGTCCAGGGAAGGAAGCTTTGATTGTTATATGGCCAAACACTAATTGCGGACCTCTACTGTCGAATCCGTTTGCGATTGGTCAGAAATGATCAGAATTAACTACGAGGATAGGTATAGCGTTTTATAAAGACAACGTCAGGCCACACACATCTATAGTGAGTCCCCAGAAACTATGAAAGCTTGTTTGGGAGGTTTTGATGCATCCACAATATATTTATCAGGTTTTCCTTGCATTGCAAAACTTCCTTAGTGATAAGAAATCGGCATCGAGAGAAGAATGTGAAAATCGATTACTAGAGTTTCTCACCAATACGGACCAAGACTTCTATGCGGGAGGCATGAATGAAGTTACCTTTATGATGGCAATAAATTCTATAACGATACGATACGTATTTGACTTAAATCGCTAATTTGAAACGTATTAAATAAAGTCTTGAGGTCCACCTAAAAATAATGAAGTTCTTTTTTCCCAATCTCGGGGTCAATTGCTTGATTCAGATGCGAATGCGAACACAATATATATATATATATATATATATATTGATAATTTCCATAAATCAAGATCATAGGAGGAGGTACAAAGAATTTCGAAAGTAAAAAAAGAACTCTTAGCGGTTAAGCTTCAGGGTCACAGATATATACATGCGAATTTATCAGAGTAGTGTTACCTTAAAGGGTTCAAATATTTCCCAGTAAGTCATCGGAAATGGCATAGACATATTAGCACCAGATTAAAGAGAGTTATGTTAATTCTCTAAGTAATCTATGCTGTGAGCCTGAATTAATTCATTCATTACTATGGACGCTGACAGTTTCTTCCACGTGATTATTTCAAAGCCCTTTGTATCAATTTTATAGGATGCAAATATTATATAGAATGCTCATAATTATCATGGACTGCACATACCTCTGCAGACCTATTAATATTTAAATGAATTGGTAATTGACGCCGGCTTCACCGTGAACCAAAAAAGAGTTCACTTGAATGTGACTTTTATATATAATTTATGGGAAAGTACAGGAAAATCCTACCTCGATATATATGTGGTTACTGGGATAGAGAACTTATAAAGCATGAGCAAAAGCGTGAAACAATGATACGTTGAGCTTTTTTCAAACTTTTAGTCGGGCAGCATTGAGAAAAAAAAAAAAAACAAAAAAAACAAAAAGAAAAAATAGACAAACTTTTGTCTATTGTATCTAATCTATTTATCACTAACAACAAGTGATGAGAAGTAAAGGGGAGAAGTATTTATTTGAAAAAGTATTTAATACGCTTAAGCAATTTAAGTTATTATTTTTTATTTTTTATGATAAGGACAGAAACGCGGAATTAGTTTAACTGACATTGCTTGATACATTTCATTTTACATTTCTTTTTTTTTTTTTTTTATATATAAAATTTCATTATATTTTTGCTTTTATAATAGTAGTAAAAATAACTAAATAAAAAATCACGGGTTGGACAGTTTTGTTTTATACTAATTTTACAAAATGTTATTCAATTTTTTTATGATTTCGATAGAAAACAATATATATATTTATTGTACAGATTTCTTTACTGTCACGAAATACTTAATTTCTTATGAATCGATAAAAATGGCGTTTAATATAATAAAACCCTAATAAACGGGCAATGATTATATGAATGACTAATAATGAAATAAATAGCATTAACAAAACAAAAAGAAGCATTAAATTAAACAAATACAATTTACTCACCTTATGCTTGTTATGTTAACGATAATGTTGAAGAATAATTGATGACGGATGATATCTAATTCCATTGATTAAACGCGTACTTTCGTCGAAATTAATTTTTACAACTTTTTTTTTTAAACATTTTTTCACTGATTGTTACAATTTGTTGTAATATTTCTGTACTCTCTACCGCAGTATACAAATCCATTCGATTTTTCATTCTGTTTGCCGTGGCATCAAAAATTCTTCACTTGCAATCAGCGCAATACTCTGTTATAAGATTGGTCAATATTCATCTATCTAGCCGTCTATCGTTAGATTCGTTAAGGTGGCTAACACATGTTTTAGGTCTTCATCACATTCACACATTAGATCAAACTAGAAAATGAAGGCGATTTTAATTCGGTCCTCTGATGCTTATTTATTTACACACGATATTCATACGATAAACTAAAGCTAAGACTTGATTACTATAAAATGTAACTGATAAAGAAAGCACGAATAGATCAAAATCAAAAAAAAAAAGTTATTAAGAAAAATCTGACAAACGAGACAAAAAAAGAGAAAGCCTGGACATAGCTAAGATAAAGGCATACTTGCAGTCGATCTAGGTCACGGATAGGAGTGAATCCCCTAAAGTCCTGCAAATGGACAAACACTTTTCCTACCGATAGTAGTTAACATATTTAGCTCATAAGGCATTAAAAATTTTTTCACTCTAGTTGTCGTCACTACTATCGCTTATCGACATTTACGAAGGCGACACCATACACTTGTTCCGCGACGTATCTTAAGAATGTGATCTTCGATATTCGCTTCGAATTTGCTTTTTCTTGCGCGAATTGGCTATCTTGTTATTTCGCTGATAAAAAAGGAAACACTCTTAGAAGAAAAAGGAAACGAAATCTTGTTCTACCAAAAATGAGAAAAATATCTTAATGACTAAATAAACACAATTATCAAAAGTATATCTCTTCCGTAAAAATTTTCTCTATTGTAGAACAATTGCCCCCCGCACCTCATCTATTGCATCTGTCTCAAAAATATTTCAAAGGATTTTCAAGGATGGGATTGATTGTTTCACACTACAGATGACATAAACTAATGTTGAAGCCCAATTTTCCTTATTGCGCGCTACGAGAGCCTATAATTAATATCCCGTTACCTTGTGCCTGTTAACTTAACAGGCACCTGCCATCACGGAAATTTATCATATACATGATGGAGTTGAAAACATTTCTATATTGAAGATAAGAGTTTATCCATTTCAATAAGTATATAAGTGGCGTCGGACTACTGAAGTTTAGTCAGATCAATCACGTATGATTCACATGATCCAAAATTTCACTAAAGTTTGTATATACGATATTAGTTTGTAAGCCAGTGAGATAATGCTTTGAAAATATGACAAGTAAATTGTCGTTAAAGTTGATCTTCTCTTTAGAAAAGTATATTGAAACGAAGGAGAAACACTGAACTTGACAATGCGTCCTCAATTCTCCACGAGATATCCATTTGCATAATTATGTAGTGGAACTAGGGGAGCTACTCCTTCACTTTCAGAGAGTGGGTGAGAGTGAGACTGAGAGAGAGATAGGGAAAGAGAGAGAGAGAGAGAGAGAGAGCTAGAGAGAGAGAGAGAGAGAGAGAGAGAGAGAGAGAGAGAGAGAGAAGGAGAAAGAGAGAGAGAGATGTAGATAAAAAATTTTAAATCTGTTTTTTAATAAATTTTTAAGTCTCCAGGTTGTGTACACTATTCGAAATAATTATATACAGGGCCACTTTTCATTGAGTTTGATTTTCCGATGAGTTTGTTATTCTTATCCTTATAGCACCGTAGTACTCTGCTGTTTACTACTAATGGATATTTTTGCAATTTCTATATCTCTCTCGCGGGGGGGGGGGAGGGGTGGGTGTGTGTGTGTATGTGAAAGTATATTTATTTTGTAAAAAAGTCTCCAATACTCTGAAGAAGATATATATACCCTTGATTGGTATCAAATTCCAAAGCAGTCTAGCCATGTCTATCCCTTTATTTGTCTAATGTCTATGCTAAAAATTGTGTTAGTTAAAAATTTTTGGAAAAATATTGCAAGTTCTTGCATATGGATTAGCTGTTCTTGTATTAAAATGGGTCAAATCGGTCAAAGAGCAAAGAAAATTAATTCAATTGATCATTATTTTTAAATTACAAACTACTATGACAAATATTATGATAAATTAAATGTAAATAAATGAATGAAAATTTTCAGGTATAGTCAGTTCGGGGGATCCTTCAGTTTCGATTACGATCTCATATTATTGTTAAGTATTGAAAATTATCTTTTTTTCTATGAGAACTTAATGTACAGTTCGTAGATTAATAAACGAGATCTGAAAATAAGAGAATAAAATATATATTTTAAAAGTTAATATGAAAATTATTTTTAATAAATTTATTTTTATGCATACAATGTAAATATTATTATTAATTTAATATTTTCCATTTAAATAAAATTCAACAATTTTGTATTCAGTTACGGCGTCGTGTAAACGGAATGATTCGATAAATGTATTTATTCTAAAATTTCCCGAGTTTATTTCGTAGCTTTTATTGGGCCCATTTCTAGTGAGGACGGAACGGAGTCAATTCAATGCATGGACTTTTTTCAAGAAGAAGATATCTCAGGATCTTTTTTCCTTTCGTTTTGATTGGATGCACGTAACGTTTCATCTCATAGGTGACAGCTTTTTTGCATCGCATAAAGGATTCAACGAAATCTGCGGTGTTTATTAGCATTTCTAACTTGGCTTCATTTTTCTTAAACATGCGCATGATTTCTTAATTTTCGGAATAAAAAAAAAAATAAATAAATAAAAATGTCGACTGCATGACCTAACCAGGCTGCCTTCAGTTAAAGAATTACTTAAAGCGTCAAGAAACCGAACTAGTCTTGACTTATGTTTGCAATCGAACGTTAGAGATAAAATTCGTGGGCAGCGTTTTTCCGTCGCCTAAAGAAGCTGCTGTTGCATTCACAAGCCAAACGGAATGGAAAAAAAAAGTGCTTTGACAAACGGTTCGAACCGTACATTAAAGTGTTTAAGCCAAAAAAGTGAGTATTTTGAACTGTAATAATGTGATTTTTAAAGACAAATTACGGATTTTTTCATTATTTTATGCTTAAAACATAAATAGTGACACAGGTATGTACCAAAATGATAACAAAAAAAGAAAAAAGAAAAAAAAAATGTAAATTAATTCTAGCAAATATATACTTCATCTGGATCATTGAAGTACAATGCTAGGTATTATAATTGTCATGCCAGAATTGCTATACCTGCTATACAATGCTATACAATGTTGAGCATAATAGACGGGAAGAAAACGTGTGCGTGTAAAATGTTTGGAAATGCAAATGACCTTCAACAACTTGATCAAGATAACCTTCCCTGTAGTAATACGCCATTCAGTTCATTGTCCTTTGTCGCCTAATGCGCAATCTTTGTATATATTGTCTATTAAATTTACTTTATCACAGAGTGGTCTTTACTCTGTTACTTTGTTGTTTACGTTTTGTAAACTGCGCATTCGGGAAAATACACAAACATATTATCGAAGGTCATCGCAATGAACTTACACCCTCATCAAGCAAAGACGCAAAGCAAAAAAAAAAAAAACCATAAAATAAAACGAACAAAATATCCCTCATCTTTGCCAAAGAAGGGCTAAATTTGCTTTAAAATCGACAATAGATATCCGTTGCCTCAAATTAAAGTATGTACAAGAAATGCGAAGTCTGTGTCTTAATATTGGACATATTGGACACGTTGGCCGGCCAATTGAAATCGTGTGATCATTTCGATTTCTCTGATCAGTTTAGTGGTTGCTAGTGGAGAAGATTTAAAAAAAAATGTTTCCATTCGCATGGAATGGGTCTTTTACATTCACTTGGTTAAGCGATATCAAATATGTAACATTTTTCGTCATTTTAACGACTTTTACAAAATGTGACTCTGCATGGCGCGTGATCGGAAAAATTGTCCAATTGTTTCTAATTTTGGAGCAAAAACTTCAATATACCAAATTTTATGATATGATAAAATTACTAGAATAGAATAGAAATTGTGATGTCCTTAAATTGTTTTAGCAAATGCCATTTGCTTTGCATACTAATGCGTGGGTCTATCCCAAGTTCTTCTGAGTGTTGGATTCATTCCGTACCAAAAGCGGTGTAGAGTAAGTAAGTAAACGGTATCAAAATTGGTTTCGGTGCGTTTGCAAATAAACTGTAGAATAAAAAAAGTAGAAATATTGTAATCGGGCAAGGCCGGCCGTTGAATACCCTACAATTCTCATTTTTGTATGATGTTGATCGATTTCAATTCACCACATATCAAAACTTTCCTGCTCTACAATGAGTCAATTTTCGTCAAAATCCTTTCGTGAAATCCTAAGCCTTAAATAGGCTAAGACTATCCAAATTCGGTACAGTTAATTTTTTTATATTTAAATTACTATTATGATATAATTTTGATCGTGAAACATTGAATATTATACCTTTTTTTTCGTACGAACTTCGATTTTCGTTATATGAGAGGGGGGTTCAAAAATTAACCCAGCCTATCCAAAGTATTCATATCAATTTAGAATGCCCAAATACTACTACTTAAACACTTTTGCTAAGAAATTTTGAAAATTGCAATTTTTTTGCCTATAACGACTTTTCCGAGTAAATCGTTATATAGCGGGAGTGATCGAAAAAGTGGATTATACGGACAGACGGGCTTAAATCAATTCAGATTATTATTCTGAATCGATCAGTAAGGTAAGAAAAGGGTAAAGGATCTCTATTAAGTCCCTCTGCCCTTCTGTTACATACGATTGCACTAAGCTAATATACCCTGTACCATAAGTGGTGTAGAGTATAAAGAGCAAAAAAGTGAATTCCACGATTGCCTTCAAGGGTATACTGCAAGGGCGAATTAAGCCCCTTTTTAATTTCTATTAGCATCGGTAGATGTCTGTCCTTCTTTCCTTTTGTTCTTTTAATATAAAATGATAGGCAAACGGACCGAGGCAGATGACTTCAATTTTTCTAACCTGAATGATAAAGCTGTTACCATACGCCATACCATCCGTACCTGACCGTACGGTATAAGGTTTTTAATTTGTGTTTTAAGTAAGTATTTGTTTATACATTTAAAGAATTTATTGTTAAGTTGTCACAACTGAGAATTGAAATTGAAGTTCAATTGGCTAAAAACAATTTTATATGACAATGAAATTTATTATGCGTTATTGTTTGTGTATTTTTATCAGATAACGGTGCAACTATTCCCAATAAACTGCATAGTATTGCGACTATTAAGTATAAAGCGTTTAATTTACGCATTTAAATAAAAATTATTATTATTTTTTTCTTTTTTTTTTCATTTTTCTTTTTTCCTTGTTGTTGTTGTTGTGTTATTGTATATATATCAAATAAATTATTGTTATTTTTCCTTCAATTATTTTATAAACATTGTTGCACGGTGTAGTCAAATTATATATAAATATGTTAATATGTATAACGAAATCGAAGGTCAATTTCGTAACGAATCCATATCTTTTTAGATGGCGCCAATGATATTTAACAAATTGCTATGCGAATGCGTAGCTGAGAAAATACGAAAATGCGTTTCGATATCAACGAACACTTTTAAATTTGTGAATATTAAGGGTGAGAGCTAAAGTTTCATAAAATTTCGAAGGAAGCATTCGAATCTATACGAATGAATGCATTTACATATTAAATACAATTTGGTGATTATTTTTTTATTTTTATTTTTTTTTTAAATATGGCAACCACTTGTAGCCATTTCTCGGGGAATCTGTAAAATATTACTTGACTAAAAACTCTTCATTCTTCAGAACTTTTGTAAGCATTTAATTCTACTTTGTCGAGTATTCCGTGGAGATACAAATATTTGCTTCTTGAAGATTATTTCTTGAGTTTTGATATATTCTTTATACCCTACACCATTTGCTTTGATACAGAGTCTCTTAAGTTAGTGAGATTCAAATTTGATCCACCTTTTATTATACCGATCGATTCAGAATCATAATCTGAATTGATCTATCCATGTAAATTTCATGTGTTCAAGCTACAGGTTGCAATTTTTCAGATATTTCGATAAAATTTAATCCACTTTTTCAACTACTCCTCCTCATAAAATAAAGCCCCTATTTTGAAACGTCGTTGCTTGGGAAAAAATTGCAATTCTCAAAATTTCTCAGCAAAAGTAGCTAACTAGTAGTAGTATTTGGGCACTCCAAATTGGTATGGAAATTTTGGACCAACTGGGGCAATTTTTAACTACCCCCCT